AGTTGGAGGCAGGATCCGATGTGGCACGTATCACAGTACTGAGATGGTCCTCAATGGAAGCCAAGCGGCTCGGGTCATCAATGGGAGTATGAGTATTGTCGTCAGAAACATAGGCAATGCAAGCCAAACGAGCGTTATGGCTCCAAGCATGAGCTTCCATGACGTTGCAATGTAAGTCCGCGAAAGCAGCGAATATCTCTGAGAAGAGGCCCGGTCTGTCTGTCCCGGTCATCTCTATCGCTGTGTGTTCGCCGTGATCACTTAATGGAGATTCCAAGGAATTGTTGTTTGGGTTGTTATGCGCTTCACTAGCCTTTATAAAATCGGATTCTCGCCTACTCGTACCAATAGCCTACATTATCAACTTAATCTAGTCACTACTACACTCAAATCAAACATATATATGGTTTATGCAACGAATCAAGTTTAGCACAAACATGTTTGATGTGGTTGATGACGCTTTTATCAGTGAGTTTATTGCCATACTCGTCTTTAACATGGAAAACTGCATACAAGTAAGTTTCCAAAGCTCTTAAAATTAATCTGATCTATAGAATAAAAAGGAATGAAAAATGTGGATAATGTATGTACCATCCATGAACCATCCACCATCGGAAGAGATGTAACTCTTGGTGATAATAAGATTCATGTCCGTCAAGATTTGGACCACTTCTAGAAGAAGCCCTTGTTTGTTCTCACTATTCACCTTCATTATTAAACGTTTCACATTAGAGAACACCCTAAATCACAAAACACAAAGACCTATTCGCGCAAAGAACACCATTGGATCCAATTTTGTTTCCTAAAATGTCGTTAAATGATCGTACAATCTTGAGTGCGTTACCTTCACAACGGTGCAATCTATAATGCTGTCATTGTCAATATAGACCCTGCATCTGTAAATTAGACACACAAAAAAGGAAGAAGATCATGATGAAAAATGTTTATGGATTCACATTGTTGTTCAACAAATTTATAGGAGGAGAGACAAGAGCTTACGGTGGACCGTATATGCGTTCACCAAGATTGTCGAAATCAGGATCAAAGTAAGGCCAGCAAACTTTCTGCATCGTCTCTACCGCCAAGATCTGTTATTAGAATTAGGGTAAGATATATACAAGAAGAAGAGTAAACGATTCTCCACAAATTTGAGTTTATTTTTGTATGTATATATAAGAAACCGGTTTGGCAAAAAGTGTGAAGGGGAGATAAAGATTAGATTGGTGTTTTAGACAGAGGGCGATGAATGAAGAAGAGATTTCCACCTATAATACAGAGGATATAACAAGGTAGGCATTTACTAAGTTTAGCTTGGGGAATAAGTGTGTCATAACGTGTGGAAGAAGTTAGATTTAGAGAAGATAAAACTTTTTAAAGAAAATATAATAGAAATTCTATTACAGATATATATTCGAATAATGACAAAATCATTTTAGAAACGATTCAAATATAGTGTAGAGTGGTAGTATAGGTCAAGAACTTGTCAAAGTCAAATACTAAGAAATGGTAAAGATACTTGGTGAAAATAAGGTGTTCCTTAACTTCTTGCTTGTTCCTCTCTTTTTATTTTATTAACCTCCACATGTTTTCCTAAGTTGTTGGAGAAATTAAAGTTGCAAAATCTCTGCTTAGGATTGAGATCATTAAATCCATGTGAATAATTTAGAAACCACATACACAAAAACGTGTGATGTCTTTGAAACGGTCTCCAAACTTCACCAAGAAATGAAAATTTGACCCATGAGATTTTGTAAAATACTAAATACCACAAAATTTCATTACTATTTTACTATTTAATACTTACACCCATTTGGTGAGAAAACGTGTAATCCGCACTTGAACAATATTAATCTAAAAAAAATCGCTGTTGTTAAACATATTTCTAGCTTTATGTATGGATAAACGAAGTTTTCCTCGTCGTTGCTGATTCCATAGAGATGTATTTTCATTGAAAAAACCCGAGAATCCTTAAGCATGAACTCTAGAAACTTCTTCCTTGTTTTTTTTTTAAATCTGATTTTGGGATAAATCGTTCCAACTTTTGCAAGTGGATCGCAATGCGCTCAGTGATGTCAATCTGACAAACTTAATCTTTAAAGCAAGGAAGCAGTTTCAAGGGTTTCATGCTGAAAGATCGGTCATGCTCGTCACTCTTCAAAGTTTAGTTTGTTTTTCTTTCCCTCTCTCTCGAGATGATAAATAGTGAGAGTTAAGGTTTGGAAAAAAGATGGCTGGTTACACGAAGTATCCGCAAAGACATGGCCACACATGCAAAATTTAATAATGGATTCTAAACTACATGAACTATATGTATCGCATGCCCACATATACGAACTATATGTAGTCATGTCGCCAACATCACGAACATTTTTTTCCGGTACACTTTTCGCCGGAATCCGGCATTGACCAGTTTGACCGGCGTTGACCGTCGTTGACCAACATAAATATTCAAAAAAAAAAAATTTAGTTTTTTAATATTTAGAAAATTATGTTATTGAATCATTTATAATATTATATAATTAAAAAAATATATACAATATTCAATATAAAAATATTTTGTATATATATTCAATGCATTGATTTTTATAATTAGTTAGTTTTGATAATTTCAAAACTAAACTAAAAATAAAATAAAAACCAATTAGGTAAAATAATTGTAAATATGAAATTTTCTATACTCTCTAGCCTAAAGTTTTTTGTATAATATGTTGTTAATTTTTGTATCTAAAATTATTAAGAAAAATTCTTTTAATAAAAAAAAAAAATTAACAACATATCATAAAAAAACTTTAGACTAGAGAGTATTTAAAATTTTCTATTTATAATTATTTTACCTAATTGGTTTTTGTTTTATTTTTAGTTTAGTTTTGAAATTATTGAAACTAACTAATTATAAAAATCAATGCATTGAATATATATACAAAATATTTTTATATTGAATATTGTATATATTTTTTTAATTATACAATATTATAAATGATTCAATAACATAATTTTCTAAATATTAAAAAACTAATTTTTTTTAATATTTATGTTGGTCAACGCCGGTCAAACTGGTCAATGCGTAAAATATACCGGAAAATAATGTTCGTGATGTTGGCGACATGACTACATATAGTTCGTATATGTGGGCATGCGATACATATAGTTCATGTAGTTTAGGATCCATTATTAAACTTTGCATGTGTGGCCATGTCTTCGCGGATACTTCGTGTAGTCAGCCATCTTTTTTCCTTAAGGTTTCAATGAGTTAGGGTTTATGTGTCTCCACTTTGTCGGCCCGGTAATATTCGGGCTCAAAACGAAATAAATTCGAGGTCTATCAAAGTATTCCTTTTTTTTAGGCTTATGGGTAGAGGTGTCAAACTGGCCGGCCCGCGTCCATCTGGGCCGGCCCGCGATGGGCATTTAAATTTATGAGACCGCGGCGGGCCGGCCCGCTAGGACCGCGGGCAAAAATAATATGTCCAGGCCCGCCCCGCTAAGCCCAACGGGTTAGCGGGCCGGCCAGCGGGCTTAGTTTTAAATATTTTAAAAATAATTAAAAAAATAAAATTAATTTTTAAAATTTGAAATTAACAATTTTTCAATAAAAAAACTTTTAGAATTAATTTTTTTGTAAATCTTATAATTTTATACATTAAATTTCGTTATATATTTCACATATATATTTTGTAAATCTTATAATTTCATATATTTCACATATATATTTTTAGAATTATGTAAAAATATTTATTTATTTATATTAATTATTTATTTATATTAAATATTTGTAGTCCGCGGGCCGGCCCGCAAATCCGCGGACAAAACCCGCAAAAATCCGCAATCCGCCTGGGCTTGTCCGCGAGGCCCGCTATTTTATGGGCATGAAAAATGATGTCCAAGCCCGCCCCGCTGTGGGCTACTTGGAAAAAGCCCGCGGGCTATCGGCCCGCTTGACACCTCTACTTATGGGGCCTTCAAATATATATTTTTCTCATCCAATCCAACAAATTGCTATTTTTTTTTTTTTATGTTTATAAAATGGACCCGAATTTTTTTATATGTAAAATACACTTCTTAAAATAGATCCTTGAAGCCGACAAAAACAAAATAGATCCTTAAAAATGTGTTTTATTAGATTTTTACCTACATAGACCCAACACCTATGTTTCTTGGGTATATGTGCAGGGCCGGGTACAAAAGATTGAAAAAAAGATAGATTTTGTTAGATTCGAGAAGTTTGCAAACTAGGAAATGGGAGATTAAGTGGGATTATTCGGAGAAATTGTTTACTTGGCAACTTCTCCGGTATATGATACGCCATTGAAATTGTTTACTTGTTCTGGTAATGAAGCGAATTACCGAAACGACCAACAATCAATTTCTTGTTGTTGTTCACTCGATCGATGTTTCTTGGGCTTAAATAAATTTAAACCTCACATGGTCGGCCCATTGGTGGTCTAATGATCTCATCAAAATCGATTACTTTGATCTTGTACGAATCCAACGAGGCTTGGTCTACCGACGTAGATTGTTTGAAACAAGAAAATCAAACAAAATAAAACTGTCACCACAAGGTCCACAAACAAATCTCGAACTACACTAGGGTTTCAGATTTGCATACAAATATCGAGCTTACAAAAAAATCGAACTATCTTAAAGGTTTCGACTAGCCATTTTACAATTTTCATATAGACAATGTTTAAATCTGACAAACTTAGATTTGAAGATCACAACAACTCATTTTCTAAAAATAATTTATTCAAAATATTTAAATTTAGAAAATAGACAAGAAAACAAAATGTGATTAAAGCATCGTAAAAGAGTATGTAACAAGAACCAAGGATCACGTTTCGGTAACAAAATGGGCCATAAAACAACACAAAACAAATAAAATCTTCTAACCATACAAACAATGTGATGAAGCCCATACTATCTACGTTTCCCTTTTTCTTTTGTCAGAGAAGCATAATGTTATAAAAGAAATTTAGCTATACCTATATAAATTCTAACTCTTAATGTTCATAGTTAAAACTTGATGATACATTGTGAGATGATACATAAAAATGTTAGCCTTATATTTCATTCTACTCGTATGCGTGCCTCTAGGTGTCATCATGACCTTTACGAGTCCTCGACTAGCTATTACTGTGGCCGTCACTAAGCCGGCGGTCTTAGTAATACAAAATTCCAATAATACCCTTACATCTCCTCGAGTAATTACTTCTCAGCCACTGGATCACGATGACTTACTCCTTCGTCAAGCTTCTAAAGTCGACCTAAACCCTTCACCCAAATTTCCCAAAAAACTCGCTTTCATGTTCTTAACAACTAACTCTCTTCCATTTGCACCGCTTTGGGAGCTTTTTTTCAACCAAAGCTCTGATCATAAGTCTCTTTACAATGTCTACGTCCATGTAGACCCGACTCAAAAACACGAACCGGGTTCTTACGGCACGTTTCATAACCGGATCATACCTTCCTCAAAACCGGCTTACCGGCACACCCCAACACTTATCTCAGCCGCACGTCGTTTACTAGCTCATGCGCTTCTCGATGACCCGTCTAATTACATGTTTATCCTTCTCTCCCCTTCTTGCATTCCTTTGCACTCCTTTAACTTCACTTACAAGACACTAGTCTCATCCACAAAGAGCTTCATCGAGATTCTTAAAGACGAACCAGGGTGGTACGAAAGGTGGGCAGCGCGTGGACCCTACGCGATGTTCCCCGAGGTACCACCCGAGGAGTTTCGAATCGGCTCACAGTTCTGGACATTGACACGAGCACATGCGCAGTTAGTGGTGAGTGACGTGGAGATATGGTCCAAGTTTAACAAGTCTTGCGTAAGAAAAGACATATGTTACCCCGAGGAACATTACTTCCCTACTCTCCTCCACATGCGAGACCCACAAGGGTGTGTATCCGCTACGGTCACGCACGTTGATTGGAGCGTCAACGAACATGGTCATCCTCGGACGTATAAACCGTCGGAGGTTAGGGCTGAGCTTATACAAAAGCTGCGAAGTGCACGGCTTAGGTATGGGGACGGCAACCGAACGAGGAAAGATCCATTTCTTTTCGCTCGGAAATTTTCTCCGGCCGGGATCAGTCAGTTGATGAACATAACTCGAAATGTCATCTTTAACGATTTGGCTCTCGTGTAAAGTATAGAATACGTTGTTTATGTTTAGACTTTAGGGGACTTGATTTGGTTTCATTTTAAGATTTTTCTTATGTTTAAACATGTATGCGTGGATGTTCAATTAGTGTTATATATGAAAAGATTCCAATAATGTTATGGTTTTGCAGCTTTTGCTATAGGTCTAAAAGCTACTTTATATTAAGGAGGAAAGCTTTAATTTGTACGAAGACTAAATATTACAAGATTTGATAAAATTAGCAAATGGAAATGGTAAAATTAGTAAAAGAATGATTGAAAGAGAGAAGAAGAAATCACAAGAAACGCGGTCGACCCTAACTTCCTCAACAAGGAATCTAGGCAATAACAACAAAACTAAGGAAGCGTAAAAACCTCTATCAACACCAAGTTTCGTCGTCTGATTCATACGAATCAGACAATAGCAAGAGACACTCCCTGGAATATACCAAACTTCATCCTTTGAATTGATTCGAATCCAAAACTTTTTTAAACCCTAAAATTCATTTGAGCCTCTTCCGAGTCATCAATCTCTTGAAACCCTGATTCCATGGTTTCTAGATTTTCATTGATCTTGTTTTAGGATAATGGGAAGCTTTCATCGCCGGACATTTTCTTATGATAAACTTCCGACCGAACCCATTAGGCTCTCTGTTCTCAAACTGGATGGCTCTTCCTTTGGTAAATGCATCATCGTCGTAGTGTCTTTTTCGTTTTGGTCACTACTTATTAGTTGTCCCTTGTTAACTTCAATTTTATTTTGATTTACTATGTGAAGATGTTTACGTATTGACCTCGGCCACCGTTGGGGATCTTAAGGTTGCTATAGAGACTGCCTTCAGCCATGTCCCCAAGAAGGGACCCTCCAAGATATCATGGTACATTTTTCAACTTTTATTACATTTTTATGGTTACTGAAAATTTGACCCAAGAGTTTTGATGGTGTTAGGTCACACGTGTGGGGGCATTTTTGTTTGTGTTTCGGAGGTCAGAAGTTAATTACCGATACGGATTGCATCGGAAGTTATGGGCTGAAGGACGGTGATGAGGTTTCATAGCCAAATTTTTAATCTCATTTCATGAGTAGTGATAGAGGTTTAGGCATGAATGAAAATTGGGTAAATAACAAGACTTTGTTACATACATGTTTCAGGTAAGATTCAAAAACCATGTGTCAGGCAATGCGGTATTGAGCAAGGGATATTCTAGGAAATCCAAACAAAAGAATTTGTAAGTCTCAGTTTTTCCTTTTAACGGAAACACATTGATGTATCATTCCTAATAAACGATTTTTGAACGAGTACAGAGAGAGGGTATTGCCAAAGGATGTAGATGAAGTAATGAATAGAATTGAAGAGATTGATGACACTTGGGATGATCTCGAGAAAGGAGGCTTCGTTAGGTACAAAGATGATGACATAGAAACTTCTTCAAATGAAAGCAGTAGGTCTTGTCTATCCAGTGTACGAGGTTGCTGCTTTGCTTTGGGTTTAAAGGAGCTTCTTGGGTTTGGTAATGACAGAGCTTATTACTCTTTAAGAGATACTTGGAGAGACGATTGAATTTTTTTTGTTTCTTTGTCCAATTTTTGTTTCGTAAGATTTTGTAATCACACAACAAAATGATCCAATTAAGGATCAAGTTATATTACAAAGGGTAGTATTATGTTTAGAGAAAACCTTATATAGAGTACAAAGTTACAATGATTCAGAAGTATACAAGATAGTGCCTTAAACAAAAAAGTGGGAAAAAAACAGAGCTTTTGGAAGAGATACAAAACACAAAAAAAAAACAACTCCGAAGAGTCGTAATGGCGGATTAAGAAGTTACACCGCCATTGCCAAAAGCTCTACAGTGGAAGAAGATAAAAGGCACTATCACGAACCTAAACCAAAGAACAAAGGACTTTCTACAAGAACTTGACTGAACATAGAGAGACGACAACTCCAAAAAGACGGTCTAGACTAAACCCTAAACTAGATTACCAGAACTCAGTGACAGGATTCACAGGAACACTAACGGTTGTAGAAGCAGACTCCTTTGTTTAGAAGGAACCTGCCAAAAAATTTAAAAAACAACCGCTGCGTCCTGGGAAAGAAACTAAGTTCTAGGTGGAATCTATGGGTTTTAGTGACCAAAACCTAGGAAAAAGACTTGGACTGATGATAATGATACTAAGGTTTTGTAGAAAAAGTGGGATTTAGTAGAGTATATCGCACCTCCATAGATTTTCGATAAGAGTATCCACAGTGCTGCTGCTGATTCTGCCACAACGTTGGATGTTTAATCCCAAAAGCGTGCGGCCTAGTTTTTGTATGCATGCCTTGCTTTTGTCTGTAATCGCTGAGCAGCCACCAACAGAAAGAACCTGAAGATTCAGATGGTTGGGAGAAGATGCCAAAGCCTTGATTCCATGATCTGAGACCAAAGTATTTGAGATGTCAAGGTCATTGACTGAGTAGCAGTTCTTGGCTACTGCGACAAGGCTTGTGTCAGTGATGTTCTTGCAGCCGTCAAGGTTAAGAGACTCCAATGTGCGTCCGTGGCAAACAGAAATTGCAGAGACTGTGTTGTCTGAAACGTTGATGCATTCGCTCAAGTTCACCTTCACTAGACCAACATTGTTGCTCTGAAGCAACTCGCGCACACCTGCATCCGTCACTCCATTCAGTCCACAGAGTTCAACATCCTGAAGCTGATGACAGAACTTTCCCAAGAAAGCGAGACTTGCATCCCCAAACCCAGGGCAGCATCGGATCGACAAAGAACGTAAAGAGCTGCAACTGGGTGATGACAGAGGTGATTCTAAGTTGAAGTCACTGATGCCCAGACAGTTTGCCAAAGAGAAAGCTTTCAACTTTGAGCCACAGTTCATGAGAAAACCCATAAGACCAACCTGGTTGATCCTGTGGCATTCTTCAAGTTTCAAACTTTCCAGTGACAATGCAGATTTGGCCAAAGCGACAAGTCCTTTACCAGAAACAAGCAAGCATTTGTTCAGAGAGACATGCTTCAGATCAGGGCAACCATTTCCAACAGCTTCAAGCCCAATATCAGTCATGCCTCGGCACGACATCACTGAAAGTGACTTCAGTTTCTTCAGCCCTTTTGCATTTCCCATAACCCAAAAGCCTTTCTCGTTCACACCTTGAAGGCCATGAAGCACAAGATCAGTAACAGCTGCTCCATAGTGACCAATAACAGCAAGAGACAGACCAGATATGTTCAGCATCTGGAGTTTCACTTTCGTCAAGTAAGAACCAGCTTGGGCCAAGAGGAAGGCAACACCTTGATCTCCAATACGTGGGCAGCTCCTGATAGAGATAGATCTCAGATTGATACAACGTCTAGCAATAGCCCTTAAACCCTCATTCCCCAACACCAGAGCACGAATCAATCGTCAGATCACTCAGATTCACGCAATTCTCAGCAATTGCAACCAAACCATTGTCAGTTATTCCTGGACATCGCGAAAGGTCAAGTTTTTCAATCATCGGGCATGACCGAGATATCTCAGACAAACCCATATCACTAACAGCAGGCAAGTTCCATAGAGAAAGAACCCTAAGAGATGGACAACCATGAGCAACAGCCCCAAGACCAGCATCAGTCACTTTACTATCAAAACCACTCCCACGAATCTGAAGCTTCCCCAATCCTCCTCGACTCGATGTCCCAACCGCAATCGCTGCCAACCTCAAATCCGTCGCCTTCTTACCCTCTAATCTTCTTGACAAAAACCCTTCACCCTCAACATCTTGAACTGACTCATTCACTTCACTCCTACTGATACTACTCAAAAGATTAAGCCAATGCTTGGAAACACAAGCGCACGCACTCCTCTCTTCTCCAGAAGGTAAACGTCTGAGAATCTCAAATAAACACTCATCCGGCAATACATCTATCGATGTTTGCTTCTCCTCAAAACCGCTGAAAACCGACGGCGCAGCGATACGTAACCTCTTCCTTGCTGGGAAATACACGCCGGGACAGCTCCCTGGCGATAGATACATCGATGATCCCCCAAGAAAAAAATCTTCATCACCTATAAATCAAAACAAGTAACAACTCCATTATTCTCAATTCCAATCTCAAGACTCTTCCACACTAAACAGAGACAATATAACTCCTGAAAAAACCTAAAAACAAACTTAATGTAACATAACAAAGCAAATCCACGAAATGGAACCAAAAACAGAGTCTAAAGCGGATCAAACCCTAGAAACCTAAAGAACCCTAAATCAAGATTCTATATCAAGAAACCAAATTAAAGGATTTCAAGAAGCATACCACTAAATCTGAAGATTCCAGACATAATTCGAAGACGATTTGAAGAACAAAGACGAAGAATAATAGAGATTGAAGACTAAGATTCATGAAAAAGAGAAGAACCCTAGAAGATTAGGGCAAAAAGAGAAGATTTTTACAGAAGAAATTTAGAGAGATATGGAGAAGAAGAAGAAGAAATTGAGAAACGTCTTTAATGGTGAGAGAGGTGTACGGTGGAAGTTGATGTAGAGAATAAAAACCCTCAAGTTCAATGAATACACGCGAAAAAGTCGGATTTCTTCTCCACCTTCTTTGTTCCCACACCGAAACCCAATTGTTATATTTTGTAATCATTTTATTTCATAAAAACATTATTATAAAAAATATATTATAAATTCATAAAGTTTTGAAAAAGACTGAATACATTGAAGGAAGAGAAAAAAGAAATGTCGAGTTACATGCATTGTTGACAAAAACATTTGAGAGAGATGTTGATTTCGTTGAATTTTTGGAATTTTAAAACCATGACACTAGCAACATGGGCAATAGTTTATTTGAGAAATAAGAGCAAGTGTTGGGTAATATCGTGACATGTTTATTTTAATGATGTAGTGGATGGATAACATAGTCCAAATCCAATGTTAATTATATATTTTAGAACTCTTTTAAAAGCTCTTGGCTTTTGATTCGTGAATCATTTAAATAGTGTGGTGGATATGATAATTTTTAAAGATTTTCTTCTTAAAACATCATTTAGTAGTATAATTATAAAAAAAAAACAATTAAATGTTTGTGTTTTTTTCAACATTCATTATGTTTTTTTTCCACTCCAAGCTTCCAATTACTTTTCCATAAAGAATGATTGAACAAATATATTTTTAATCATAATTTAAGAAATGAAAGAAGAAAAAAATTTGTTTTATATCTCCAAAAAAAATAAGTAGTATATATTATAAAATATACTTACAGTTATATGTACATGTGATTTTATATACGTTTTTAAGTATGATTTTTTATATCTATAAACATAATTTATATTTAAATTAATATTAATATTGATAATTAAAGAATTCAACATTTAATGACTCTTTCTAGATGAAATTCATAATATTTTTTTTTCAAGTTCATTTTAATATTGATGGGGCGATAGTCGACTGTCAATCCAACGGTGATACATGCACACGTCGTATCAAAATCGTCCATAAAAAAATTAAACGGAATATTTAATTTCCCAAACAAACTCTAAGCAATAAAGTTATGCGAGCTCTTGATTTTTATTTTGGCTATGACTGGTAAATATTAGCAGAAAAAATGAAGAAAAAAATGAGAAGAAAACAGAAGAAAAGAAAAGTACAAACGGGAAGAATTTTTTTACTATGTATTTTATAATTGAAAATTTTCTTATTTTATGTCACTTTTTGGAAGAATTGAGATGAAAAGTAATTCTTCTCCTTTCTACTTGATTGGTTTATTTTTAGTAGAAAACAGAAGAATTATTTATCTATTCTTTATTTTTCTTCTATAATGTATAACCAGTCACACCTTTATGCTCTTGATTACTTGATATATTGTCATATTGATACATATGTATATTATGATCACTTGTTGCATCATCATTTTACAAGTTGTCAGAAAAAATAAAAGCAAATGCTGGTGAGGTTTCAAAAGGAAAGCAAAGAATATAATTGTTAGAATACAATGAAGGTGAGAGTTAAAAAGTTGACAAAAGTGGCTTAATACATTGAAGGAGGCAAAAAGGTTCGAATACATGCATTGTTGACGCACCATTTTTTTTCTTTTTTTTTTGATAAAAATTGTTGACAAAACCGTGGGGGTTAAGTTCGTTGAATTTTTATTAATTTTCAGATTGAAGGAAGAATTATTCGGATAACATGTTTGCGACAGACAGAAATTATTTGTTTGTTTGAGATACTAAAAAGAATTTGAGGGTTTTATTGAAAATAAGAAGTATCACTCTAAAAATGAACGTCTATAAAACCAAACGTAAAATAAAACGAAAGTCATTTTTTCCGTATAAATGGAAGTCTATTGCATGCTTATGTACGTTGTTCATTGTTGTTTTTTTTATTTTACTAAATTATTTTGATTGATATGATGAAGTCTATTATGTTTTGGATTTCTAACCAAAACCAACAAATGCCATTTGAGTGAATTAACATTCGATATGATGTACTTAGTATTATTCTAGTCCCTTCTAACAGATTCTAGCAAATCAACAAGTTTAAACACACAAAATTGATTTGTTTAAGAGGAGTAACGAAGACAAATCATAGTACTAATAGAGCAACGATAGAACAACATAATCTATAAATCCATACACCACATATAATATCGAAAAGGGTATCTATCTACAGTAAACGGAGATTCGTTCCAACTTACATTAGGACATAAATCGACATATCACCCAGGCCTGGGCTTTCGGTTCTTCGGTTCCATTCGGTTCGGTTCTATTAGTTTTCGTTTATTCGGTTCTATACTCTTATGATCTATAAGGGAACCAGAGGTTTTTTGGTTCGGGTTGGTTCGGTTACTTATCGGTTCGATTCGAATACTTTGAAAGAGAACCAACAAATAACCGAATTCTAGTGGGTATCGGTTTGGTTCCGGTTATTTTACCTAAAATACCCAAAAAGAACCGAAATACCTAATATCCGATTTTTTTTTGACAAAAATATAATGGCCAAAATACCTAAAATATTAATTTAAAAATCTATTGGGTTAGGAGTTGACTAAACATTTTCGGTTCCATTCGGATACTTGTGGATATCAGTTTGGTTTGATTATTACCCGATATCCAATGAATAATGTGATTGAGATCCATTCAAATATTTAGTGGTATCCAATATCCATAACCGAACCAAAACCTTTTTTTTCAACATTTTGAATTTGTTCAAGGGAATATCTTTGATCCTATTGCGGTTTTTATAGCTTATGTTTTCGAAAAAAAATACATTGCGCTTAATAATTTATATTGTTTTCGTCCTTTCAAATATATATATCTCATTCAGATCGTGCATGATTGTTTTTGCCGATCAATAATATTTAATAAAGTTTACGTATTTACGTTTAATGTTACTAAGTTATTCTATGCAGGAACGACAACATAAAATGAAGCTGAAAATGACGTTATACACATGAAAAAAAAGTCATCTTGATAATAGTCAGAAGTCTACAATTCGAAAAAGAATTCACTTTCTCGCGGATAATTGAATTTGGTCGAATTTTGTAGCACACCATTAACCATTTTTAGGTACAATGTACCGTACATAACGTCCAAAAAGTCATAATCAGATTTTAACTTTATCAAAACATTGGAATATATAATCCACAATTCTAACTAAATACATATCACCAACAGTCTTAGAAAATAGCTGAACCACTTGGTCAAAATTAGTCATGGACGTTCGGTTATCCAATCGGTTTTGGTTTGGTTCCATTTAATTTCGGTTATTTCGGTTTTAGAGTTTAGCATTCATTCAGGTATGTTGATATTTCGGTTCGCTTTGGTTTGGTTCCGATTCTTTTGGTTTTAAAATTTAGTATCCATTCGGGTATTTTGCTTCGGATATTTCGGTTATTTTTGAATTTTTTCGGATATTTTTGGATATATTTTGATTTTTTTTTAGTATTTTCAGTATATATATATATATACTGAAAATATATATATATATATATATAATTTCAAAAATTGGTATTTTTGATTATTTGATCTATAAATAACCAATACTTTTAGATATATAATTATATTTCTAATATTTTCGGATACTCAAAATATTTTCACATTTTCAGTTCGATTCGGTTTTTTTACTTCAGTTCTGGTTCTGTACATTCGATTCGGTGAATTTGACCAGACCTGACTCATAATAACACAATTCCCAGTGTAACAAAAATCGACGTAACACAATGAAATGATTTATTGTTACACGATAACAAAAACGAAAAAAAAAAGTCTAGTTCGGTATTTTCCTTTGAAATTGAAAGTAAAATATTTTTTTGTTCCTTGAGAGTTTTTACTTTCATCAGGAAGCCAGGTTTAAAAATCCAAGTTCCGGAAATTTTTGATTACACACATTAAAGAAAGAAAAAAGATGAAACCAAATTAAGTTTCAAGAGTTGCAAATCAATCATACAAGCCTTCTTGCTCCCACACATCCACCAGAAAATCGACCATTTCCTGCCACAATAACCATAAATCAACAAATACTTAAATCACGTTTATAGAATGTGTAAACTTGCTGAGAGAAAAATGCTTACAGGGAGAGGTATTGGGCGAGAAAACCGCTTGTTCATACCCAACAAGCTCTCATATGTTGCATTCCAGCTGCAGAAAACGATACTTTAACTCAGCATGTTCGAATAGGCGATAACTTTGATGGCTCAAGAATCATCCATGAACTTATCTGACTTCAAAACTGTAAGAACCTTATCTTATATAACCTAAAAGCCTAAAGGACTAAAGAGAAGAATCACAAGACACCATGTAACAGCTTTTTGAACATGAAGCTCCTGTCAATCTTTGGATGACTTGCTGATGCATATTTTTATTGATGGAAGCAAATTTGAAGAAAATGCTAGATGAATCACGCAATTTTTGTACTCATCAATCCCAAGGCTTTTAGATAAGAATGGATTCTTACTATTCTTGGATTAAGAAGTTTAATCTAAGAATCCGAGTCTTCCAGTTAGGTGGATGAGAAAGTCAAGTTGTGCCTTTGCTTTATTACCAAAAAGATTACTACTGATGGAAGCACTAATAGAGCTAACAAATGATTTAGAAAAGTAAAATGACATTTTAACTATCTCAAACTTGTAACTTTGTTCATCTGTGAATGCACATTAATGAATATCACAATCAAATTGTTTTCAACACTTGATTCTTATTCATAAGGAATTAATGTAGAGGTTGAAGAGAAAGAAAGGGAAATCTAACTTTCACCAACCTTATTGTAGGTTCTCGAAGTTTGGCCTTTTTATGAGAAGTTCCATTTGCAAGCCATTGTTGCCTAGTTTGGTTCCAGAGGTTCAATCCTGAACAGGAAGAAAGAACAGGCACAAACTTTTAAGGAAAATGACTGCACTGAAGAACAAAAATACGAATAAACAGAGCGAAGAATCATGAAGTAATGGAATTATAGCACCCCGAAAGTCAAAGAACTAATATCTGAAGATGCAGGCCAAAACATACCATTACAGAAGAAAGTGGAGGAAAAAATATTTAACTTTTCGGCATAGAGAAATCCATATAGGTGTGAAAGCTTATTATATACAGGTCAGGTTTAATTCAACGTAGGTTTGATAGAGAATATCCATCAGAAGCCAACATCTACGTGTCATGAGACGAAAGATTTTCCTGTTGAACCAACAAATACATAGTATACTCTACAGACATGTGCCCCCAAATGTATTTTATCTAGTCAGTCACAAACTAGGGATCTTCCACTGATTGAGATGAAATAAATATAAACAATAATGTAAGCCAACACCTGCCTACATATATTAAAAGCGGGTTGACCATCCGAATGAGTAAGCTAACATCATAAGTAGATACTTTCAAAGTTGAATACATGGTCTTTCACTTATTAGGCAACAATTCAAGCATCTAAAATGCAAGAAAGGATCAACAACAATGTGTGGAAATGTCAACTCACCGTGGTTTACAAATTCTGTGGGGTTGCTTGTACTTGCAGAAGTAGAAGTGTTGTTAGTGAAGCTGATAGAAGACATGCTTCTCTGTGACTGAAGTGTGCTGTTATCCATCTCGCAAGTGCTTGTGCTCCAGAAGTCGTCTGATACGCTTGGCTTCTTCACTAAACGACCTTGAATCCTTAACCCTTTAGACGGCTCATCCACTGCAACTATAAGCGGTGGTTTATTGCAGCATCCAAAACAACCTCTGTACTGTTGCAAAACCACAACAACAACAAAAACGCCAGTGAGAAGAAATGCAAGAACTAAGGAATTTGATTTGGAAGACTCTTTGCAACTACAACCGTAGATTCCACATAAAGAGATCAAGTGATGGTTTTTCTTTTTATCGAACAAACAACAAAGGGACACAAGAAAGTTCTTTGATCCTCTAAATATTATGAAGTGAAGTTTCTTTGATGCTCTTAACCAAAAGGTATTGACATTAAGAGAATTTTAGCGATCCGACGCTCCCAACACTCGAACGATTTCAATATTGAGTGAGATAAAAGATCTAGAGCAAAACTAAAACTTGAGAGATGCTTTGATTCCATTTTTTTGCTTAAAATGCAAGCAACAAACACATAAGCAATAACCTAACATAAATTTTAAGTAAGAAACATATCAAATTCAGACTTTAAAGTAAAAAATTTTACACTTCAGTTTCATAAGATTCCTCTTCCTATCTCTCAGTCATACACACACAACACAACACAACACAACACAACACAAAAAGATTGAAACTTTCAAATCCAAAAACAAGAAACTGAAGAGAAAGATCCTCACTTACCCCATGCAACCAAATAACTGGTAGATCCAAGAGGGAATAATTTCACAGAGATGCATCTACAACAACCAAATTAGAGATCTTCTAATCAAAACCCTGATTCCAGGTAAGAGAAGTCTCACAATCCTGCAATTTCAATCCAAACCCAAATCAAAATCACTGAAATCGAAAAAAAACACACTTTTTTTTTCTGGTGATGAGAAAAATTAACCTCAAAAATGGCATATTAGAGGAAAATTGGGATTAGGGTTTTGTTCCGCCACCTCCCTTGCAGCTAAATCTAAAGCCTTTATCTTTGTTTCTTCGTCTTCTTCTTCTTCTTTGTTCGTTTTTTTTTTCTTCGTCTTCTTCTTCCTTTAGTTATGCGTGTGTGGTGGTTCTGCAACTCCCCCAAAAATAAGGAATAGAAAAATTCCGTTTTTTTTTTTTTTAATAAAGAAAATTGTCTGTTACTTTTATTCCTATTAATTGTACTTCACTAATAAATAAATAAAAAGTTTATAAGTTATGGACCATATTAGGAATAAAAAAAGTACTAATGTGAGTTTTTTTAAATCAAAATATCCCCTTTTCATTAATCTGTAAATTTTTTTTTTTTTTTTCGTCAAATGATATCATTATATTATATGGTTTGAAAAATCGCTATGCAGCGCGTTTGTTATTACATGAGGAATTAAATTATGAAAAACGAAACAAGAATGAGAAGGAATCAAATGTTTGGCTAAAATATCTGCAGGCTTGTTGTTCCCACGTCGACACCATGTGAATTGACTCTCTGCAAATCTTGTCCTCCATTTTCTTGCTTCCCTCAACCAATTAAAGGCTTCAAAGTTAAGCTTCTGTCCATTGAGTAGGTCTACTAGTTCCTTATTGTCACCTTCAAAACATACCCGATTGTAACCCTTGATCCAGTAATGTTGCATGGCCATGATTAACGCTTGGAACTCACTCTCGACGACGTTCCTTGTTTGAGTACCTTTAGCTTGACCAGCCCCCAAATAAGTACCTTTATCGTTTCTTATCACCCAACTTGCTTGAGAAATCCTTCCATTTGAATATGTGCCATCATAATTACATTTAATCCAGTGTTGGTTTGGTGTTTCCCATCTCGATTCTGATCGTGTCTCAGAAGGAGTATGAGCTCGTGATCCTCTCATGTCTTCTGTATGCCTTTCTTGATCCTGCCATTCTTGAGCATCATCCCTCGCCTGTCTTATGATCTTCCTCCACGATGTGGATCTTCTTTGAAAACAGAGTATATTGCGACTTATCCATAATCTCCATAAAATCCACAGAGGAAAATGACGGAGATGAGAAAATCTTGTTGACGTGTTGCAAGTCATTATAGCCTTAATCTTCTCTTCCAAAGAGATATTTGGGTCTGTTAGTGAAGCTAATGGAAAACCAGACCCACGCCAAACTGCCTGTGCCATGACACAATCAAAGAACAAGTGACATGTTGTTTCCACATTGGAGCAACAATAACAACAAAGAGGTTGGTTACTCATATGTCGATAAACTAGATTGGCTTTAGTAGCTAAAGCGCCGGAGAGGAGTTTCCATAAGAAGTGCTTTAACTTCGGAGCGGTGTTGATACGCCACACTTGAGCTTTAAGATCATTATCACCCGGAGTAGAACGGATTTGTTGTTCGCTTGGGAGATGTGTCGCCAACCAGTAAGCAGACTTCACGGTGTATATACCCTCTTTTGTGTAGTGCCATCCCAATAAATCCTTCTCAGCCCCTGGACAAATCTTAACTGACAGAACTTTGTCTACATCTTCATGGTGAATCCACGCATTGACTCTGTTTGTGTCCCAGCCCGTTTTCCTTGTATTCAAAAGATCGCTCACCATTTTTGGCCCTATAGAATCTGAACTTGTCCTCGGAGACCGAGGAGGATGACAAGGTAACCACGGGTCCATCCAAGCATTTATTAGAGATCCATCGCCAATGCAAAACCTGAGACCTTTTTTAACCAAATCCCGGCCTTGTAAAATCGACTTCCAATGAAACGATGCTTTCTTACCCTGGCCTGCAGTTAGAACATTTGAATCTGGAAAGTATCTTCCCTTGAGAACTCTCGCCATAAGGCATTCTGGATGTTGCATAATCATCCACACCTGTTTACCAAGTAGCGCTAAGTTGAATTTTTCCAGTTCTCTGAACCCTAAACCTCCTTCCTTTTTTGGACGACTTAATTTGTTCCAAGCAAACCAGTGAATTCCCCGTTTGTCTTCACCCGAACTCCACCAAAATCTTGCTAACAACCCATCAATTTCGTCACATATTTCCTTAGGCAACTTAAACAGATTCATTGTGTAAACCGGCATTGCCAATGCAACGGCCTTCAATAACACCTCTTTGCCCCCTGCGAGAGATACTTCTTACTCCAACTTTGAGTTTTATCCTTAACCTTTTCCACAATGTATTGAAAGAGATCCGCTTTCTTTTTATCAAATTGTTCTAGAAGCCCCAAGTACTTACCTCCACCCCCTTCATTGTGTATGTTTAGTAGATTGCGGATACGCCTTTTTGTATCTTGTTTAACATGATGCCCAAAGGTGATGGCCGATTTCCGGAGGTTGACCGCTTGTCCAGACACTTCTTCGTATTTATTCAATATACTCTTAATCGTTTGGCAAGAACGCTGATTCGCAAGAGTAAAGAACAACGAATCGTCTGCGAAAAGTAGATGAGAGACTGCGGGAGCTTGTTGACTAACTTTGATGCCTTGTATCTTTTTATTTTTCTCTGCTTGCTTCATCATATGGGATAGAACTTCTGCGCATAGTATAAATAGATATGGAGAAAGTGGATCACCTTGGCGTATGCCTCTGGTCGGAGTGATGTTGCCGTATGGAGTTCCATTGATCAAAACTGAGTACTGAACCGTTGACACACACCTCATGATCCAGTTAATCCAACGTTGATCAAATCCCATATGGTACATCGTTGTTTCCAAAAACTTCCATTCAAGACGGTCGTAAGCTTTAGCTATATCCGTCTTTAAGGCCATGTAGTATTTTGCTTGAAGCTTCCTTGCCTTAAGAGTATGGAATATTTCATGAGCAATGGTGATATTATCAGTGATCATGCGACCGGGGATGAATGCTGCTTGATTTTCAGATATGGCTCCGGATAAATGTTTCTTCAGCCGATTGACCAGGATTTTGGAGATTATCTTGTAACTTACGTTACAAAGAGCAATAGGTCGAAATTCCGCCATTGTTTGTGGAGCGACAACCTTTGGCAAGAGACAAATGTTGGTATGATTATGTGTCTGATCAAACTCATTGTCCCTGAAAAAACTTTGGACCTCCTTGTAGATTTCCGGGCTTATGTCATTCCAAAAATGTTGATAAAAGGCTCCTGTAAAACCGTCTGGACCAGGAGCTTTTGTAGGACCTACTGCAAACACTGATTCTTTTATTTCCTCCATTGTAACCTCATGGGTAAGATCCTCGTTGATTGTTGCTGTGATTCGTTTCGGGAAATTATGAAACACTTCTATAAAAGCGGAGTCAGGCGCTGGGATCGAAGTATAGATCTTTGAAAAGTAATCAGTTGCAATTTCTGCAATGTTGTGATCTCCACGTCTGCTTTCTCCATTACCATCTTCAATTGAGAGAATTCGGTTTCGATTTTGTCTGACCTTGGTTGTTAAATGAAAGTACTTGGTGTTTCTGTCCCCAAAATTGAGCCAATTGTTTCTGCTTTTCGTTTTCCAGTAAACTTCATCGTCGATATAAGCTTGGTTCAAATCTCTCTTGAGTTTGGCTCTCTCCGCCGTAGTAGCACTTCCGGTGGTAATCGCTCTGTTAAGATGCCAACGAATGATTTTAATTCTTTCAGCTGCATGAGACCGATATCTCTGCTTCCACTTAGAGATTCCTTTCCTGCATTGTGTAAGTCGATGAGTCATGGAAATGTTGCCTTCTCTGGTTGTTCCTTGGCCTCGCCAACCTTGTGTAACAGTGTCCCTGAAACCATCCTTATTTGTAAATCGAGCATCATACCGGAAAAATCCTTTGCGATTCTCTCTTTGATTTGAGAAACATGTAACCAGTGGCCGATGATCGGATTCACCAAACTCCAGAAACTCTGTTTCAGCAATTGGGAAAAGAGATGACCATTCATTATTAGCCATGGTGCGGTCAAGACAACATAAAACATAGTGCTGGCCTCTCTGCCCTGCCCAAGAGAAACGATCCCCACTAGATTTTAAGTCTGTGAAATTACAAGTCCTAACCATCCTTCTTAGGTCTCTAAAGGAATTTTCTGGTCTTATTCTACCCCCACTTTTCTCATTATTTCCCAGAAGCTCGTTAAAATCTCCCATAATTAACCAAGGACTCCCTTGTCTCTGAGTATGAATGCGTTCGATACGTTCCCATAAATGATTTTGTAAACTTGGATTTGGGTTACCGTAAACAAACGACAAATAGAAGATTCCTTCATTACTATTCACATAAAGATCTACAAGATTAGGAGATTGAAAACAAAGGGAAATATCTACATGATCCTTCCAATAAACTACCAAACCCCCACTACGACCTATAGGAGGAACTATTACATGATTGTTAAAACCTAACTCACAACCCTTGTCCCTCATATAGTCGTCATCCTGCTTCGTTTCAGAAAGGCAAATGATGTCCAGGAGATACTTCTTAGAAATCTCCTTAAGGCGTCGAACTGTAAGGTCATTGCCGAAACCTTGACAGTTCCAACAGGTTGTCCTCATGGCGGATGTGGTGGATTCGGGCCCACCGCGCCTCTGCACAAGTTAGGCTCACCGGAGCCTCCACTTCCTTCTCCCTTCTCCCGAATGACAACCTTCTCCGAAGCCTCTGCCACTTCTGATTCAAAAATCACATCTTCCCTCTTGCGTTTTCCACGATCTCTTGTCTCCATTGTGTTCTGTGGGAGTTGGTCAGAAACCTCCAAATGATCCAATCTTGGGTGAATTATCGCCGAATAACGACGATAGCTTGGGCTGCCTGGAATGTCCCCAGTGGCGTTGTCAAAAATTGGAATTGGGTTGAACAACTCACTTGCCTCTCTTTCGGCATTATACATGCTGTAGTGTTCATAAACCTCCGGAGGACCTTCCATGTTGGCCAAAGCGTCATGGTTTGGATCAATGTCATCCAATTCATCTGCTTCCTCTTCGGCAATTTCCTCAGCATTTCTGTTTTGATCTTCTGCCCCAAGATCCTCCCCCTCTTCGATCTCTCTTAGCACCACACCGTGATTTGGAACCCGAGCCTGAGGCGGCTCCTCATCATCATCTCCCTCTGGTAACTGTTCCTCCCCGCCATTTTGTAGGATACAAGCCCCCGAGTCGTGGGTCATCATTCCACAAACCTCACAAAAACCTCTAAGCCTCTCATAACAAAAACGCAATAAGGTATTGACCCCAACTTG